TGTGATTGGGTTGGTGAATCTGGTGCAGGTCATTATGTTAAAATGGTTCATAATGGTATCGAGTATGGTGATATGCAACTTATTTGTGAAGCATATCATTTGATGAAGGAAGGAGTTGGTCTCACAAATGATCAAATTGGTGATGTGTTTGAAGAGTGGAATAAGGGTGAATTAGATTCATTTTTGATTGAAATCACTAGAGATATCGTGAGATATAAAGACACTGATGGTACTCCCCTAGTAGAAAAAATTAGGGATACTGCAGGCCAAGTATGGAATCTCTTCATTCATACATTTGCACGCATATATATATACTTTTAATATATAATTAACTTTTTTGGAAAATTATACAGAAAGGTACTGGCAAATGGACAGCAATAAATGCGCTCGATCTTGGAATGCCACTTACACTTATAGGCGAAGCTGTATTTGCTCGTGCACTTTCAGCTTTGAAGAGTGAACGTGTACGTGCAAGTAAAATTTTAAAAGGTCCTGAACGTGTGGCTTTCACTGGTGATAAAAAAGACTTCATTAAACAAATAGGCCAAGCTTTATATGCTTCCAAATTGATTTCATATGCTCAAGGCTTTATGCTTATGCGTGAAGCTGCTAAAGAATACAAGTGGGATTTAAATTATGCTGGTATTGCTTTGATGTGGCGTGGTGGTTGCATTATTCGTAGGTTAGTCATTAAAAAAAATCTTCATAAATAGTTTATTTGACATAGATATATATATATCTTGATAAGAAAAAGATTTATGTTAAATCTTTTTGATTTTTTTTTTTTTTTTTTTATAGTGCTTTCTTAGGTGATATTAAAAATGCATATACCAATAATCCAAATCTTGAAAATCTTCTTTTCGATCCATTCTTTAGGGATGCTATTGAAAAAGCACAACATTCATGGCGTAAAGTAATTTCAGAAACAGTTCTACTTGGTATTCCTACTCCCGCATTTGCATCAGCACTTTCATTTTATGATGGTTATAGACATGAAAAACTGCCTGCTGGTCTTCTTCAAGGAATGCGCGATTATTTCGGGTTTGTAATATGTCCATTTATTTATTTTTTTTTTTTTTTTGTTTAAAATACATTTTATTTCAATAATTAAACAAATGATTTTTTTTGGGGGTGGGGATTCGGTTAACTAGTGCTCATACATTCAGATATCTTGATGAATATACCGATGAAAATCATCCTAAAGATCAAGATGTTCATGTTAATTGGACTGGTCATGGTGGAGCTGTTAGCGCTTCCTCTTATCTTGCCTAATAGTAATAATTATTATTATCTCTATAATTCTTTTGTGTAATTTTATTTATTTATATATTTATATATTTATATATTTTATCATGTATATCACTGTATAGCAAATTCTTTTTTTTAAAAAAAAAATGTTAAATATTAAATCAATGCTATTTTATTTATTTTTAAATTGTAACAAGGGATTATTAAAAAAAAATAAAAGATATACACGCATAAAACATGAATAACAATATGTCCTACCTATTGTTGCAATAACTTACTATTGACTTTTTTAAATTGCGTAATGAATAAGGATTATCATATAGATAAAGAATAAAAGATATACATACATAGGACATGAATAATATGTCCTATTGTTGCAGAAAAAGAAGACTTTACTATTTATTAACAGAGTATACATAGAATGATCTTTCTGTTTATTTTATAAATAAATTATCAAAATAAATATAAATAGTAATATAATTATTAGCAAATTACATTTAAATAATTTACAAACTTTTTAATTTCAAAAAATTGTTATTTTGATACATTTTTAATAAAAATATTGTGACAGGATCTATATCTTTAGGTAATATGATCGTAAGAGGCTTGTATCCTTCCCACTTCTCAACCAGATTGCTTAAAGTTTTAACATCCATAATACGAAAAATATGTTCAAAAATTAAAATTTTTAAATTTTTGGGTTGTGTTTGATTTAATACTGTTAAGATTTTATCGCCATCAATTACATAATGCGGAGGAGAAGATTTTCTAAATCTAATTGATTTTAATTTAATACAATTGTTAAATAATCCAATTAACGATTGATCCAACTGATTTCTGTAAAGTATCGATAAATCTTGTAGGTTTTCGCAATTTTGCCCAATTGATTGAACGAGTTTACTCCAATATTCAAGATCATAAATTTGATTACTACCAATATCTATAACCTTAAGAGACTTTCCATTGGTTTCCAAGAATATTTCAATGCATAATACGAATGGCGGCAGTTCGGTGAATAATATAAATTCTTCGATACTTGGAAATGTAATGATGTTGATTTTTTCAAAATCAGTATCGCGTTGACACAATAAAATTAAAACCTTCAAGTTTCGAAAGCTTGGTGTTATTACAGAATCCAAATTACTTTTTAAATTGCTTGAATATTCAATTATTGACTGTGAATGTGCCAATATTGCTTCTTTGTAATCGTCTGATAAAATGACATCATCTTTTGGATGAATAGCTAACTGGTTGATTTGATTCTGTGCTTTGATTAGTTGAACTAGATTATTATTTATGTATCGATAACAACGATTTCCTTTGATTCTTATCGATTTGATATCTTTACAAGTATTTGTTAACATATCAAGTAATTTAGCATTCGTATAAAAATCACACTCCAGTTCACGAAGACTTTGAAAACAATTATCAAACTTGGGATGATTGATAATCAACTGAACATTATGTTCTGGTTCATTAGTTTCAGAGACTCTAAATTTTTGAATACCTGGTGAATGATCTAAAATAAAATTTAACAACCTTTCCTTTAAAAAAGAAATTTTAGACTCGTATTCTTGTATCAAATCGTAGAATCGACCAACAATTATTATAAAATCAATTGTGGTCACAAAGTTAGCGTAATTATATAAAGGTTGGTATTCCAACAGTTCAAAAGTTAATTTGATATCATACTCTTTTAAGAAATTCCCATCTTCTGCCAATATACAATTAATTAATATTTTCATTGCGTCTTCAGAATAGAATGGATCTCTCCATAAAATTCGAATATTAATATCGCACCATTTTTTGTTGACTAGAATGCAAGAATACAATGTTCCATAATCATCTTTATTTAGTTTAAATATTTTATTTAAAATTTCCGTTGGATAGTCCATTTGAGTCTATTTATGAAAAGGAAGGACACCCAAATTTATTGACCCCAATTATCCTATACATTATTATCACGTGAATTACAAATAGCATAACTAAAAAAAATCATAATATTAATAATAAATATTAATAATGTTAATGTTTAATTATCGTTAATATGGGAAAGCACCAAAATATGGCGTGAAGACAAAGAAAAAAAAGGAAAGATGATCGACGAATAAAGGAAAAAAGAGAGTACTTAATCAATATGTTTTATTAGATTAAACTCTTATACAGCTTTTTTTTTTTTTTTTTTGCCTATTGTCTTCTTCAATAAATAAAGTGATAAATAAGTAAATTATTCTCTGATCGTTTTTGACAGGAAGTAAAATGGTTTAATCCTAAATGAGAAAACTTGTAATATTTATCCAATCAATAATAATGATGATTAGATTCTTTATTCACTTGTAAATATTTTGAACAAGAATACTTGGAATTGCATCTTGGCTCTTTTTTTTATTTACAACATTGTTAGAATAAATTATATTTCGTGAAGCTGGCGTGAATTTTAAAAAAATTTGGATGCTTAATTTTCCTCTCTTAAAATTACAAGTAATGGGTGATACTGATGCTGTTACTACACCAAAAAGATATATTGTTGTTTTATTACTATTATTATTACAGTTCATTCATTGTTGATATATTTTATTTGGAAATGTTGTGTGTGTCAAAATCGATTTTTTAAATTGACATGTGTGAAGTTCAAATTAGCCAATCGGAACTTCACATCAAAGCACCTCACCCCAAAAATTTTAACAAAGATATACATGGTAATAGTAACATAATAGCCAGGATTACATTTCAGATTACCTCCCCTCACGTTATCCATTCCCAATTAAGAAAAGGTTCATTACATATTTTCTCATTTTTTTCTCAATAATAAACGTAGATTTGGCAAATAAGAGAGAGAACTCGATAATAAATCTGTGAATTTATTCATTCTGATCTACAATATGTAAGTCACGTGGAGGTAAAATACAAATATTTTGTTGATAGTTTCCTATAAAATACATTATTTTCTTAATTTCTTTTTACCTAAAATATAATTATTATTTTATTTATTTATTTTTGCAATTAATATTGTGATAAGAATGGTTATGACTCATAAATTAAAAAAAAAAGCGGGAAATTTTAAATTTTTTGATGACGCGTCATAAAAAAAATGAATGGCCTTTAAAGAAAAATCCATAACGTCCGTCATGATAATTAGCACAATAATAATCAATTATTAATTATAATAAACACACCACTACTATCCCTCTCTAATTCTGTTAATTTCAAATCAAAAAATATCAAACTAACCATATCAAATTTATAATTTAGTCACATGATCAAAAACAAAAAAAAATTTAGCTATTGATGAAGTCATCGTATCATTGTGCAAATTATCAGTCTATCAATTTAGTTTAAAAATTGGGTTTTTTTTTTATGAGAGAACCATCATCAACATTACCATATTTATTATTTCATGTTTTATTGTTTATTTTTTATATATATTTTATTATTGAAAAAAAAAAATTTTTTTACGCCAAAATTTTTATAAAAAGGTGGAGAAAAAAAAATTTTTATCATGATTTTTTATTTTAAAAAAAAATTTTTTTAATCTATCTTTTTAGCAAAAAAAAATTATTTTTTCATCAGAACAAATAATCTTTTTTTTTATCACAACAAAAAAACAAACCACTTATTATTTTATTATTTTTTTCATAACAACAACCAACAAACAAAAAAAATACTCTTATTTATTTTTTCTTCGTTCGTAAACCTTCATCTATATATATCTTTAAAAAAACAAAAACAGACAACTTGACAACAATAACAAAATGAGTCCTTTTACCAATACTACTAACACAACAAGAACTAACAATACATCGGCCGCTTCTAACAGAAATAAATACTCTAAAGGTGCAAACTATTACTCGACTGATGGTAAGTATTTCCTCCCCACTGCTTTACAATAACAATAACAATAATTTGATGAATATAATATATAGATATATTTATGTATACACATACATACATATATACATATTACTTGTTATGTTTTCATTTTTTGACATTTTATTCTATTCTTTCATTTAGCAGTGACGGAGGAAGTGATTAGTGACCATCATCGTCATCGTAACTCTGAATTAACAATAAAATATGAAGAAAATAACCAAATAGTAACTCCCGTTGATAGCCAAAGCGAAGAAGGTGGTAATAGTCCTCCACCATCTACTGTTTCATCAAAAACGTCATATACTTGTAACAATTGTGGTAAAAACTATAAACATAGAAATTGTTTGGTTAAGGTAATTGTAACATCTTATCATGTGACGATGATGGTGAATTATAAGCATTTCATATTTACAAAACATTAACATCGCTTTATTATTAATAATTAAAAAGCACTTATGGGAACATCATGAAAGTTGGGATCTTTGTCTCAAATTTAACTTGACGAAACATCAACAAGTTCAAATGATGGAGGTAACTTATTAATATAATAATGATAATCAATTGATTAGTTATCTTTATAATATTGTTGTTATTTGATTTAATTAATGAATTTTTACTAACAAAATTTTTATTTATTGATCATCATCTTTCCCAACAAAATATTAAACAACAAAAAAACTATCTCCATCACAACAAATTATATCAATCATCACTAATTATGATAATTCAACAGGCAGCGCAAATCCTGGTTGATATTGCTTGCATAGAGAAACATTAATTTAAAACATGCTTATTTATTATTATTAATGATTAATTATGACAATGACTATTGGGATTATTGGGATTAATCTTATTTCAATCCTAATAACTTTATTATATTTTTTTTTGCTTTTCTTTCCCCTTAATACAACTATTATATATATAAATAAATAAATTTTTTTTACTCGCACTTCATTTGTACATTTTCCCCTTTTTATTTTCCAATTACCCTTTTACATATCATCTTACTATTATTATTATATTTTTTATACACAACTACTCATTCATATACTCACATAAAACGCTTTTATACAACATAATACACAAACTCACACACATTCACGTACTCATATGCATTCAAAGATCAATCAATTGACAAAGCAACAACAATTTAATTAAATCAAATCTACAACTATTATTATTATTTCTTTTAGCGCTTACTCTTTTATTTTCCTCATAATATTTATTTTCTTTTTCATTTTATTTTTTCTCTTCTTTTATATATACACGATTATAAAATAATGTTTCGCTCTAAATTTGTATATAACAAAAAAAAAACTATTATAATTCCCTTTTTTAATTATTATCATTATTTAGATGTGTGAGATAAAATATTATTTAGAAATATATCAAATCAATATATAGTTAATCAAGACAATTAGAATGATTAGTCAGAGTTTGATAATGGTGATAATAATCATTAAATAATCTTATTATTTTTATTTTATATATGAGGAATTTAATAAAAAAAATTATTTATTAAAATTTCTCTTTAAATTTTTAGTAAATATTAAATTTTTTTTTTTTATTTTTTTTTTTATATATTTCTTTTTTATATATATTGCACCATTTTTTTATAAATATACATACATTTTTTCATTTTACACACACAAAACATATACACATTATAAATATCTTTATTATTTATTATTATTATTATATTGTTATTGACATCACATATAAACATTCTATTTTTCTCATTTTTGAATTTTTAAATTAATTCCCGATTAGTAAAAAATATTGTACAAAATTTTATATAAAACAATAAAAAATGAAAAAAAAAATAATAATGAAATTTTTTTTTTTGGTAAAATAAAATTTTCCGATTTTGGAATGAGATTAATGAGATTGCTTTTATTATATTACTTTGGTATTTTTTAAAATCCCATGATTTAAAAATTAAAAATTAGTAATTCAATTTAATTCAATTTCAATCAAACAATTTTTTTTATTCGCACATAAAAATTATAGCAAAATTAACATTAATCATAATAACAAATATAAAAAAAATATAAAAAAAAAAAACTATCAAACTATATATAATTAAGAATAACGATAATTAGATAATTAAGCTTTATTAACTCATCAAATCAAATCAACTATTGGTAAAATCCAAATGTATTTTCCCCAGAATACCTTTATAAAAAATCAAAGAAATTAAATTAATGAGTTTTCTCCAATAATGAATATGACTATATACCATGTACCATATACCGTATCTAATATCTACTACACCCCACCATATCCCTACAATTAATAATAAACACTTACGTTATATATAAGAATCCATCATCATCTTTATGTTCTTCATAAATACTTGACATAAGTGCAGCTGTTGGTGGAAGAACTTCATCAACAAAAATAAAAATTGCCTTCTCCGGGCTCAACTTGATACGTTTACGAATCACATAAACAAATTGTCCAACTGTTAAATCTGCTGGAACTAAATATTTTTTTTTATCGATTGTTGCAATATCTGATTTTTCTACTTTTTCGCATATAACCTAATTAATTAATAAGACGATGTGAGATGTTTGTTTTTTTAGCTACTTGGAAATTTTTATTTATTGTATTTATTATCATCATCATATATTTATTGACTTACCGGAATCCTATCAGGATATTTTTGTCTAATCCTTTCAGCTTCGGCTTTACGTTTTTCTATTTAAATATATATATATATATATATATGAATTTTTTAATAAGAATAAATATTTAAACTTTTCTACAAACAAACATATTTAAATGATTTAACCAATATTATCTTTTACAAATGGTTTAACATACACATACCAAAGAGATGTTCATCTTTGAATTTTGACCTCATTTTTGAATTATTGTTTATTATTATTTATAATTTAAGAAAAAAACCAAGTTTTAACACACGTTTTTAGAAAAATATCAACAATTTTTATTAAAGAAATGTTTTTGTTAATACAACGATGTCTATATTGTTGTTAATGGGAAAATTTTTTTTGAAGAAGAGAGTGAGAATAATAAATGGGGGCTGGAAAAATAAAACTTGTATATATATAGGAAAAATAATAATAACAATATAAATCAGGAGAATTGTTGATGATTACGCACTATCATCATCATATATATATACTAATTCTAATTTTTATTGATGTATGCTGCGTGCATCAGGAGGGAAAAGTGAGAGTTACACATGTCGTTTCAAGTCACTAACACATACATGTGTACTACTTGATCAATTAAATTAAAAAATTTTATTTTTTTATTTTACGAATAAGTTATAAAAAATGAATTAAAAAAAAACGGATGAAAAAAATGATTAAATGTATTAAAAAATTATGATTAAAAAAAATGCATTATTTAAATTATTTAATTTTGGTTGTAAAAAAAAATTATAAATTATAGTTTACATGAATGATTAAAATCATATTTATATATTTATATATATATTCTTTTGACTCCGTTGGAAAAAAATCATATTTTAACAATATCTTCCTCCAATAAAATCTGACCAACTTTTAACTTCATTTGGTATTTTACCATCAACTAGTCCACTAAATTCAATTCTTTTTCTCTTGAGAGCTTCTACAAATAATTTGGCACATTTGCTATCATTAACCAATGGTATACCAAAATCTACAGCTGATCTTCTTTCAATGTAATTCTCATCATTAATAGTTGGTGCTCTAAGTTGTGCCAAATTAAATACAAAATCTATTTTATTATCTTTGAAAGCCTTTTGTAATTCTTTTTTATCATCAACTGGTAAAGATAATGTTTTAGCATGTATGTCACGTTTATTTAACCAGTCTGTTACTTGTTGTGAACTTGTGTACAATGGATGATCTAAATCCTTTGATAATGTATATGCAACAGTAAAGAAATCTTCATCATTTGTAAGTTCGTCTCTACCAATTAAAATGCCAGATCCAAGTTCTGGTACTCTAAAGTTTTGTGTAGATTGAATGGCTGACCAGTAAGCTTCATATTTATCTTTACCAAAACATGCCACTTCTCCTGTTGATGCCATTTCCACACCAAGGAATGGATCAGCTCCTTGTAAACGAGTCCATGAGAATTGTGGTACTTTGACAGCTTGGTAATCTCTCTTTTCTTTCATAAGATCAACTGGTTCAGGTACATTTTCATCACACAAAGCACGAGTTGCAACATCAATAAAGTTAACACCAAGAACTTTAGAAACAAATGGGAATGATCTAGATGCCCTAAGATTACATTCAATAACCTTCAATTCTACTTCACCATCAGGTTCATCTTTCTTAATGATCTGCATATTAAATGGTCCTGTAATTTCAAATGCTTTTGCAACTTTCTGTGCAATCACCTTTAAATTTTCCATTGTTTCTTCATTAATGTCACGAGGTGGTAAAACTAAGGTTGCATCACCAGAATGTACACCCGCATTTTCTACATGTTCAGATACTGCATGAACCAATAGATTACCTTTGTAGGCTACAGCATCAACATCAATTTCAGAGGCACCCAAAATAAATTTGGTAATAACTACTGGATGTAATGGTGAAACAGATGTAGCTTCAGAAAGATTTCTGTGTAGTGCTTCATGACTATGACAAACATTCATGGCAGCACCTGAAAGTACATATGATGGACGAACAAGAACTGGGTATCTATAAAAAATACACAAATAAATAAAGCGATTAGTAAATAAATAAAAGCGTTTATTACAGTATAACCCTTGTTTCAACGGATTATAATTAAATTCGTGTTTCAACGATTATAATTAAATTCGCGTTTCAACGATTATAATTAAATTCGCGTTTCAACGGATTTTAAAAATCTTTGTCACACATTATGAAAACATATCCGTTGAAACGTGATTAGTAATTTCATTTCAACGGATTTTAAATGAAAATTTCTTATATGTCCAGCCACTCCGTTGAAACGAGGGTTATACTGTATTGAAAAAAAAATTTTTTAATTGATTTTTTTTGGTTAATTCAACTTACCCAACTTTATCAGCAAATTTTTCAGCTTCTTGAGCACTAGTCAATTCCTTCCATTCAGGTTGATCAACACCAATTTGATCCAAAATCTTGGAGAACTTGTATCTATCTTCAGCTTTATCAATCATAACAGGACTGGTACCCATTATATTAGCTTTATTTTGGTATAATCTCAAAGCAATATTTTGTGGTAATTGACCACCAACGGATATAACTATATTTTCAGCATTTTCTTGTTCATAAATATCCATAACTCTCTCATATGAAAGTTCCTCAAAATAAAGTCTGTCACACTCATCAAAATCGGTTGAAACAGTCTCTGGGTTGTAATTTACCATGACAGTCTTTTTACCCATGTCACGAAGTGCACGAATTGCTGATACACCACACCAATCAAATTCAACAGATGATCCAATACGATATACACCAGATCCCAACACCATAGAACCATGATCATTAAAATCTATATCATGAGTTGAAGCATTATATGTGGTGTACAAATAATTTGTTTGTGCTGGAAATTCGGCAGCAAGAGTATCAATTCTTTTAACAAATGGTGTAATACCAACATCTTTTCTAGCTTTTCTGACTTGATCTTCAGTAACATTTTTTTCCAAAAATGAGGCAATCTGAGCATCAGAAAATCCTTTCTTTTTAGCTTCTTGTAACAATTCTTTTGAAACATTTTCAAGTTTTCCAGCATGTGTTAATTCATGTTGAACATTGACAATATTGCCTAGTTTGTGTAAAAACCATTTATCAATCTTGGTAAGATCATGAATTTGATCAATTGTATAATTTTTTTCAATCATTGCTTGACCAACAGCAAATAATCGACGGTCTGTGGGTATTGTCAATGAATTGTCAAGATCATTAAATGGAATAGATTGGAACCCTTTGAAAGATGGATCAACTTGACGAATAGCCTATAAAGATGCATGTACAAGACACATATTATTATTATTACTACTATTATTATTATTATTGATTCTTTAAAATTATTTATATCTAATTAACATATATATATATATATCTAATAAATGAATATTTAGATGTCCACTCAAGCAAATAAGAATACACCAATATTTATGGCTCATGGTAATAAAGATATGGTATATAATAATTATTAAATGATTAATCAATCCAATAATATAATTGTTGATACATATTTTATACAACTTTTATTTTATAGGTTGTAAAATATCAATTGGGTAAACGGACTTCAGAATTTCTTAAAAACAATGGTTATAATGTAACATTCAAAACTTATAATGGAATGGACCATTTTCCTTCAAATCAAGTGATCTCTGATCTAGCTTCATATCTGAAACAAGTTATTCCCTAAACTTTGTTCTCTTCAAAAAACAAATAAAAAGACCAGTATTTATGATGTAATTCATCTATTTAATATATGGGCATACTGCAATAAAATGAACTTTTGTACTGCAATGAATTTCAGAGTACAAAATTATCACCATTATACTAGTGACATGCATGATATAACGATTTTATCTCCTAGATGGTTTTCGCACATAAACCATCTAAGTGTATTATTTCCTAATAAAAAATGATAAATTCGGACTTGGAGGTTGGAACTGGTCAAAAGAACCCTAACCGGTCAAATGTATAAAAATTAAAAATATCGATTGTATTTAAGTGGATATTAATAAAAAATCACACAACTATGCAATTTATGTTAGTATGTTGTTATTTGATGATTTAATAAAATTTCATTTTAAAATAATGAACAATTCTTATGTCTGCTTATTATGAATCAACTGTTATATTATCTTTCAATAAACTATAATAATGATATTAAAGCAAATATATAATATATGATAATTATGATGACAATAAATTCAATAAATTATAATTACAAAGATTTTCATAGTTGGTCCATTCTCTTGCATTTAGCCGATAATGTGAATGTGGTTTCATTTCACCTACCGAAACAAAGATTTACAATTAAAGTGGGACATTTTGTCATTTTAACTTTCTACAACTAAAAACCGATTCAGGATTCTGGTTAATATTAAATGCGAATTAAAGGTGATAATAATGTTCTTTAATCAGTTCCAAAATAAATGATTTTACTATAAAAGATATACCTAAGTGATCAAAAATCTGTAAATATTCATAATAATGTAATATTTGGACATTTATTTCTGCTTATACTTGCAATTGGACGCGCCAAACAAAATTTGACTTTGAGGGTCAGATTATTTTTGGTTTTATTAACAACCTGCTTTAAAATTTTTCTTAAAGCAGATACATATGATAAAGAAGTTATATCTCAAATTTGGTGGTGATTGCTACACAAAAAGGGTATCAAACGAGGATGTAAAGACATTAGATTATAAAATTTTATTTGTTCCGTGAAAATATTCAATTCTTTCAAAAAAAATGTGGGAACAGCTGTCCTATTTATACGTTTTGAATCTAATAAAGTAGACTATTGTCTTGTAATAATCAATGTATGTAATCCTAAAAAATATCTTCCTGTTCTGTTTCCTGTTCCTTCTGACCAGTCAATGAAAATTAGTTTTGATTGTAGGAACAGGAAACAGGAATGGAACACCTCTATAGTTTCACCAGTTACCAAAACCGACCAATTGGGTGAATGGTGCAATGTTGAAACTTGTGTAATACTCTGAACAACCTTAGACCCTGAGTGTGAAGAATAATTCTTGATGATAACAAATCAATAAAAAAGACTGTAGCTGAAAACATATGAATATTTATTAATATATATTTTATTTAGAAAACTAACTAAAGTACATAATTTAAAAACCATTAATTGTTTTTGACTATTTTATATACTTCATAATCTTCCACTGAAAAAAGTTC